AGAGTGGAAGGGAAGCTTGTGTTTGAGGCGTGGCTCAGCCCCATGCCAGGACACTTCTTCACTGCAGCTGCTAAAGCTGTGTGTGAAGTCTGGAAAACAGAGCTCTACATGGGGAGTGGGACACCTGCACTACCTCAGCCCAGAACCGACTGCAGGAGGCTGCCCGGCTGCCACACCACACAGGCAGCCAAGAGACCCGTGCTTGTCTGTGTCCTCAATAACTGGAAGACTCCGCTGCAACACCCACTTTCCCTCCTGCCACCTCCAGGTTACCAGGTCTGTCTCCAGGACCCCAAAGGCTGAATCATCATGGCCACCCACACCTGGGGGCGGTGGGCAGGACCCAACCTCATGGGAAGCCCTGGGCTTAGAGTCCAGTGTTCCTACCCACTCTTTTCCCATACACCATGCGAGTGTTGGAGAAAGGGCTGGTGTCTAGCAAGCCACGTGGCCTGGGGTAGCGGGGTGTGACTCCCCCATACCTGTACGCTCATCAGTGGGGAACAGCAAAGACTCCTGGGGACCATACCACACATCATATCTTGCAGGTCCTGGCAGTACCTGAGTGGCATGCCAAAACCTACGTGACATTCTCCTCGGCTAATATTATCTGGAGGAAGCTCTGGCCTCAAAACCCTCCACCAGCAAGGTTCTGGGGCCAGAAGAGAAGCAGCCCCAGAGTTATAACCTCAGGACGGACATGTGAATTATAAGTCACATCCTTAGCCACCTGCTGGGGAGCAGGTAAGGGGAACATGGGCACTACCAAGCCAGGGTACTGCAATGGTGGGGAGCTCTGAACTGACCCCAGACACAGGCCACCAGCTGATGAGTCAGACATCCCACCCAGGGTAGGGGCAGGGCCAGCCTCAGCCAACTCAGCCCCCGGAGGCCACAACACCCTGGGCCAGCAGCCCTGCAGGCAGTGGTTCAGGGTGTGGACACTGCAGGCTCAGGAGGAAGAGCAGGCTTCCCCCTGTATAGTCTGCTTCGGCCATGGCTAGAGAACTGGCCTGCCTCCTCCCATGGGAAGGACGTTGGGGCTGTGATGAAGCGTGTTGGCACACACGGCTCCAGGTCAGCAGCCAGAAGGGAGACCAGCATGCCGGCTGGCAGAAGGTGTTGAGTCCCCTGGCATGTCATGGCACAATCCCCACCCACAGCACAGAATCAGCCTCAGAAGCAGGATCCCCAGGGGCCTGCCTGTCTCTCTCCAGCTGACTTTCAGGAGGAAGTCAAGCGTCCTAGCAGAGGGAGGGGGGAGACCCCACCCTGGCTCCACCTCTCATTGGCAGGGTGACCTTGAGGATGAGCTGCGGCTCTCAGAAGGCCTGCTTCCTGCTTGCTCAGATGAAAGGGTGGTCTTGGGTAGACCAGAGGATTGGGGACACCATGTGACTTGCAGGGCAGCAAATCAAGGCCTGCCACTCCTCCCTCTCACCTGTAGGAAGCACTCCCTGTATGAACTTAAAAGTCAGGCTGACTTGGCAGGTCCATCCCTGGTAGATTGGGAAGTCACTCACACCCAGGTGGGTGGGTCTGGAGCCTTAGCCACACCAGGAGCTGATAAAACCCACTCCCTGCAGCTTGGGCTGTGCCTTGCAAACAAGGCTAGGAGGGAGGGAATGTTAACACCTTTCAGATCTCGGCCACAGGGCAGACCTCAAGCAAAGGTAGTCACTCCCTTAGAACAGAGCCGCATTTGCATCCCTGAGCCGGAACACACAGGCCACAAGCGAACAAGCACACATGCCAAGGCCTCGGTCCGCAGCCTGCGCCCAGGGTCTCCTACTGAGAGCTCCCGGGCTGGCTGGAAATTACATCTCAAAAGGAATAAAAAATTCCACTGAGACGTGCGACTCCAAGACCCAAGGCCTCTGAGCAAAGTTTCCGGTGGCCTACGCAGCCCTCTCCATTCCGGAAAACCAGGCAGGTCGCTTGGTCCTCAGCCTAAAGAGCAGCTGCAACTGTTGGGCAAGCCCAGCGTTTCCCGCTGGGAACCCCAAACACCGAGCGCCTGGCCTGCAGCCAGCACGACTGCCCGCGGCCGCCTCACCTCCTCGGCATCCCGGTTATCACCCTCGGGAGATCCGATCCTGCACACAGGCCCGGTACCAAAGGCTGCCCCCTCGCAGCCAGCCCCGCGTGCCCGGGGTGCCCATCGGACATCCCTCGGCCTGTCTCAAGGACACTGCGGCCAGCAACAGCCCAGCCCAGGGGTCTCCGCCCCGCCGCCCGCGCCAACTCGCATACACAATGCCGGAGAGAAGAACAGCGCGAAGGAAGCCCCCTCGCCGGGCAGAAACCGGCCCCGGCTGACGAGGAGCGTGCGCGGTGGCCGGGGACTCACCTTCTTGACCTGGTCATCCTTGAGCTCGGTGAAGTAGTACGCCAGGAGCTGCGCGGCGATCATGCTGGCGGCCGGGCGCGCGGGTCGGCAGGCGGGTGGCCGGGCGAGCAGTGGTCCTCTTGCGGCGGCGCAGCCGCTCCGCCTCCTCCCCTCGGCCCGCGGCTCCGCCCCCTGGGCCCGGGCGCGGCGGCGGCGGCGGCGGCTCGCGCGCTCCCGTGCCCCGCAGGGTGACAGCCACCCGTCGGCCCCTCCTCAGCGCCCATTGGCTGCCGCGCGCCTCTGCAGCGCCGGGCGCGGCGTCCTGGCCGAGGAGGGAGGGGGCGGCCGCGCCCTCTCTCACCGGAAAGGGGGCGGGCGACGCGCCGAGGCCACCCCCCCGACGCCCGCATCACCCGGCACGTCCCCCACGTAGGGGAGCGGCGCGTACCGTCACGCGTGGAGGCGCCGTGCCTGGGCGCAAGTGGTGGTGCGGAGCACGAGTGGGAGGCGCCACCCGGCTCGGAGGCTGGGAGCAAGCTCCTTCCATGGAAAAGGGAGCCTCGGCCAGGGGATGCCCATGGACGCGGAGGCGCGGGGAGGGGACTCGCAGAAATGGGCGTGGAAAGCGGGCGGAAGCGGGCGCGCCAGGGGCGACCTCGCACTTGGGTGTCTGCTCCAGTTGGCTCTTGCGGGACCCTGGTCCCTCACTCTGAGCGTGGCGATCCGTCAGGGTCCTCATGGGCCTAGCCATAGTCCAGGGCCGCTCGACCCAAACTGTAGCTAGCAGATTGGACAGCCTCTACCCGGCGCGCCCACCCCTGAGCCACCAGCTGCCCCGAAGGCGTATGCCTGCAGCGCAGGACCTGGGCACAGGCCTCTAAGCCAGTCTCCATCCTCCTGGCTTCTCTCTGGTTTGGGGGCCCTGCAGGAGTCTAGGGCTGCCTTCTTTTTCACTTCATTAGAGAAAATTAGGTGGGGTGGCAGGGAGTTCTCCCCTTCACCAAAAGCCAAAACCGGTTCAAGGGGGTGGAGAGGAGGTGTCTGCTCCTAGGACTGATAATGGCCTTGTGTGTGCTGGATGCCGTCCAGGCTGACTGAACAGCTGAGGAAACCAAGCCCTAGGGAGGCCTCAGTCCTGCTGGACCCTGTGCAGCCAGCAAATGGGAGATACAGAATGAGAGCTGGGCTCTGTGCAACTACCTATTGCCTGCCCACCCCTGGGGACTACCAACTTCTCCAATGGCTATGGAACCAAGCAGAACCATTTGGTAATCTGAGATGAGTCCACTCGTCCCAAGGGAAGAGGGTTCCCATGGTACCCTAGCCAAGCCTAGCAAATGTGTGGGTTGATTGGAAAGGGAGATGAGAGAGACTTGGGTCCAGGACAGAGCCCTCAAGAACCTCCAAAGTCCTGGCAGCTACCCTTACCACCTGGGGAGTCTGGTTGGTGCTCTTGAAGCCAGAGCCAGGGCACAGCCCCCACCCCTGTCCAGGACCAATGCAGAGAAACAGCCCGTAAGACAGAGTTAACAGTGCCCAGCCCTTATCCCCTGCTGCCATGGCACGGTATAGCTAAACCCCTGCCTCTGATGGCCACTTAGGGAATAGACTCCTGGAATAACGCTGGGAAGTGGATGAGGCCTCGCCCCTGCATCCCCTCCTCTTAGGCCTTGGGTAGGCCTAGCAGTTTTATATCTTCATGTTTATGTTTGAGTTCCTTTCTAAAAAAGACTTCATCTCTTCCGCCACAACATTATTTAAGCTTCTGGCCCCACAGAAACTGGACCTGCCCCTCGGATAAGCAGCAGCAGCTGCTGCCAGAAACAGCGAGAATTTTTATTTTCTGGCACACATCAAACACAGCCCCTTCATGGTCAGAATGAGAGCAAGCTGGCTCTCGAGCACCGACTGATTTGATTGCTTCGAATGTGGTGCTGCCAACGTTCCTCTTGGAGGAAGGCTCTGGCTTTGCCGATGGCTCCATCCCCCACACCGAGCTCAGGCCTGGCTCTCTGCAAGTTGCACAGACCAGTGCAGTAGTCAAGAGCACGTAACCCCCCACATACACACCCAAGCTATAACCCTTCTCTGACCTGGTTACCCTGAGACATCTAGTAGCCAGCAGGATATCTGCCTTTAAGAGCACAGCTGCCTTTGAAGGTGACTCGCTGCTTCCCACCTAGTGAGTACAAGCAGGCCCCCAAGCCTGTCTGTGTTTACTGAGAACCAGCTCTAGGCCTGACCCATCCCTCAGCTCCCAGGATAGAAATATCACAGGAATCTTCTGGTCTGTTCTCACTGGCTCCTGGCTCCCCACCATACCACCTCTCATTTGGAGCTCCAGACCACATTAACCCTGCTAAAAAGCCACCTAATCACATTGTGGGCTTGTCCCCAAATCCCTGCCTTGTCCCATCCTTCCTGGTCCACTGCCTGCTGTCCCAGTTCTTCTGTCATCGGATTCCATCTTTACCATTATCTCTCCTGTACCAGGGGCCACAGCAAAGCCATTTCCCCCAATCTTGCCCTCTCCCCAACCTTCCAGCATCAAGGCTGTTCCTCTAGTGCCCTGCTCCTGTTTCTTTGCGTGCCATGACCAAGTGTCCCTTCTCTGCCAAGACCCAGCTCACCTACCTTCTTCACAGAGCCTCATCTGTCCACAGCTACTCACCTCAGGCTCCCAGGCCACAGCCCCAGCACAGACTGGGCATGCACTGTGCTCAGAGTCCATCCGGATCTGGACCAAGGCTCTTGGTGACAGACCAGGAGCCTGAGCTGCAGCCAGTGGGCCATCTTGCCCAGTGTCGGCTTGGGTGCGTTTGGAGCCGGGACTCAGACCCAGTTCTGATGCCAAGCCAGAGCCTTGTCCATACCACCCTGCCACCCAGTGCAGCCGGGGCCTCAGATAAGTGACGCTAGGTCACAACCGCCTGCGTGATAGGGCTTTCTGTCTCCTAAGGGGCTGGGCTTATCTGCCCCAATCAGACAGCTCCCTGAGGCCAGAGCTCATGCTGCCCTGCAAGTGTCCCCTCTACTTTCAGTTCTGTTCTGTCCCCCCCTCTTTTTACTGTCACTTAACTGTTCTACCCCCAGCTTTGGTGCCTACTCCTTGGACTCCCAGGAGAACCTCAACCCAAAGGGTCTTTAGTTCCCTACCCCTCCAGCTGGCCCTGACCTCTCCCTCAGGTACCCTGAACTTGGCTCAGTTATTATGGTTCTCCCATCTGGGTTAGGGTAAGGTGATCTAACAGGCCGCCAGGCCTTGAAATATACCTGTCTGAGATAGGTGCTTGGTGCTCTGGTTAAGACACCACTTGGGACCTTTTTCCAGTGTCAGTGCCTGGATTCTTGCTCACACATACCCTAGGAGGCAGCAGTCAATGGCTCCGTGACTTGGGCTCCTGCCACCCACTTAAGGAGACCCAGATTGAGTTCTTGGCTCCTGGCTTCAACCTGACCCAGTCCTAGCTGTTGGAAGGCATTTGAGGGACTGAACCAGCAAGCCTTTTTAATAAAATGAATATAGAATGACTTAAGAAAATCACACACCTGCCTGTAGGAGAGTGTGGGCTGCATCCTGTGTCAGCAGGTATAGTTTCCCACCTGACCCACAGCAGCAGCAACAGGAGCACTGCAGAAATGTTGCCCAGCAGATGGAAACTGTACCCCCACCCCTGGGAGCAGCAGGAACAGCAACTGTGTTTGTACAACATTGACAGTTTATAAAGTGCCTTCTTATTAACTGCCTCATTTCTCCAGGTAACAGTCTAGTGAGGTTAGAAGAGCAAATATCATTATCTGCTCTGAACCAATCAATGCAGGTATGGTGCTTGTAAAGTTTACCAAGGTCTCAAAGATGACCAGAGAGCCAGAAAAGAAATTCCAGCCCTGGGGTATTTTGGAATCTTGACCTGGTGGAGAGGTGAGAGCTGGAGACCTGCATGTCCTGAGTAGGTACCCCAGGAGGGAATGTTGACCTTGCTGATTCCTGGTTTTCAGCCTGGCTTCACAGAAGAGCCACCTCCTGAGGAACAGCTCACAAACACCCATAGTCTGTTTCAACAAGCCCTTGCTGAGCCTCAGCTTCCACCTCTCCCCAAAGCTCTTCCAAAACCCTAGACATGCCCAGCACTCAGAATTCAATGTTTCTCCCAAGCTGAATCTTCTCAAGTGCCCCTCTGGTCATGTATCCCCTCGACCAATATTTGTAAAGCATTTCATGTGTCCCACATTTGCTTCTCACCAAGAAGCAATGACAACTAGGCTTCGCCTTGTGGCGTGGTGGCATCCCATGTGGGTACTGGTTCAAGTACTGGTTGCTTCACTTTCCAATCCAGCTCCCTGCTAATGGCCTGGGAAAGCAGAGGAAAGTGGTTCAGACTTGGACCACTGTACCCATATAGGAGACCCAAAGGAAACTCCTGGCTCCTGGCTTTGATGCGATCCCCCTCTGTGTGTTGCGGCCAAGTTGGGAGGGAATCAACAAATGGAAGATTTCTGTCTCTCCCCTGTAATTCCAATTTTCAAATAAATAAATAAATCTTTAAAAAGTAGCAGAGGCAGAATCCTTGCCCACAATCTGTAGGTGACAGTAAACAAATCACTGGTTATACACACATAGGGCAAGGCAGAGAAATCAAAGCAGGCTAGAGCTAGTCTGGCTTCATCTCACAATGTCTATTTCTGCTTTATCCTCATCGGCGCCCCAGTCTGGAGGTAGCTGCAGAACCAGCTTCCCCTGACAAGTGTCTGTGGCTGGGGTTGGGTGTTTAGAATAGCAGGTAAGATGCTGCTTGGGATACAGCTTCCTACTAATACTGTACCCTGGGATAGAGCAGCAATAGCTCAAGCTGTTGAGTATGCCACCCATAAGAGACCTGGACTCAGTTCCTGGTTCCCAGCCTTGCCTTGATCCAGCCCCCAGCTGTTATGGATATTTGTAGTCTAATCAGCAGATGGGAGATTTTTTTTCTGTTCACCTCTCAAATAAGATATAAATCAATACATTTAAAAATGTTTTCCGTTGCTTAAGCTGGCAGGTTGTGATGGTATGGCAACTTCAAGAAACCAAGACAAGGCCCTTCCCAGTATATCAGCTCTCCCCTCAATCCAGCTTCTGGAACTAACTGTCCAGGAAATCCTGCTGGTGAGAATGTGTTGGGCACAAATCTCTGCAAGTATACAGTGAGCCATTGCTACCTGCAGGTTTCCCATCGACAGATTAATCAATCGCAAGTAGAGGGCCGGTATGGTGGCCTAGCAGCTAAAGTCCTCGCCTTGAACGCCCCGGGATCCCATATGGTCACTGGCTCTAATCCTGGCGGCCCCACTTCCCATCCAGCTCCCTGCTTGTGGCCCGGGAAAGCAGTTGAGGACGGCCCAAAGCTTTGGGTTCCTGCACCCACGTGGGAGACCTGGAAGAGCTCCTGGCTCCTGGCTTCAGATAGACACAGCACCAGCTGTTGTAGTCACTTGGGGAGTGAATCATTGGACAGAAGATCTTCCTGTCTGTCTTTCCTCCTCTCTGTATATCTGAGTTTGTAATAAAAATAAATAAACCTTAAAAAAAAATAACATTTTTTTTTTGGCTACTGAAGACCAAAACCAATCTCATCATGTGACGGCTCAACAAGAATACCAGAGTCCCTTACCTGGGCAACCAACCTTAGTCCACTTCATCAGCCTCCTCCAGCTTCTCCATCCACAATCCTGCACTTGCTGCTGTCTCAGCTTAGTACATCCCTTCTGAGCTGGCACATTCATTTGCATCATGATTGCAAGTCTTGCCACATCTCACTGACCTTCTATCTTGCCATTCAGTGTTGCAACTTTTTATTTTCATGCTGAGCTTCATTTCTCAGCCCTAACTCCTTTGAGACTGAGAACGTCCTCTTGTTCATTTTTGCAAGAACAATAAAGTTGCTACTTAACAGGTGGAGTAAGGATCAGGGCAGAGGCGGTGATGAATCCACACACAGCCTTGGGTCTCACCTGGGACCAGGTAATAGGCCCAGGTAGAGGGAAACAAAGGCACCAGCCCTTCTCCCAAGAAGCAGATTCTTAAGGTCTTTACTACCCTCACATAACTGAGCCCCACTGGATCACAAAGGCACAAAGTTTTAAAGGCACAAAGTACCTGGGCAGGGGAGGCATTGCGAACAACCCAGGAAACTTTGACTTGGGGCCACATGGGATTGTCAGTAGGAATGCTGTGAAATATTTCTGTGTTGAAGTGCAGAGGGGCCAGAGGCCAATTTCCTGGCCAGCCTGATGTTACACATGTGAGACAGGCAGGAGAGATCCTCCCGTATCCTCTGCCAGGCCTCTCCCATTGTCTGTATACCATGCAGTTTTGGCACACATGGGCCCTGTGTGTGACTCTGATGCTTAGCATTTTGCTTCCAATAAACAGCTAAGAAGGAGAGCCTTGTAACAGAGGCCCTGGAGAGGTATGCTTGGCCCAGAAGAGAGTAGGTGAGAGGTCCCTGCTGCCCCTCCAGGCAATCCACAGTAGAGCTGTATGACTAGCTTCAAACTATGATCAGAATGCCCCAAAGAAATTGTCAATGCAATATCTACATTTCACAGTCAATGTTACAGAGGAAATGAGAAGAACGTTTCTTACCTTGCTTTCAGTGAGTGGTGGCTGCATTGCCACTTGAGGTTCTGTGGCCTGAAAGAGAGGCAGAATAAGATGAAGTATTACAAAAGCTTCTGGGCCCGGTGGCGTGGCCTAGTGGCTAAAGTCCTCACCTTGAACGCGCAGGGATCCCATATCGGCACTGGTTCTATCCTGGCAGCTTCACTTCCCATCCAGCTCCCTGCTTGTGGCCTGGGAAAGCAGTCAAGGACGGCCCAAAGCCTTAGGACCCTGCACCCACGTGGGAGACCTGGAGGAAGTCCCTGGCTCCTGGCTCCTGGCTCCTGGCTCTGAATCGGCACAGTACCGGCCATTGTGCTCACTTGGGGAGTGAATCATCAGATGGAAGATCTTCCTCACTGTCTCTCCTCTTCTCTGTATATCTGACTTTGTAATAAAAATAAATAAATCTTTAAAAAAAAGCTTCTTAAGGCAACTTGCAATCACAACATACTAATGCTCCTAAGTAAGGTGCTCAAACAACCTTGAAAGGTCTAAGCAAATTCTAACAGAAATGAACAATTTTCTGCATGAAGTTCACCAGAGCTCAGAAATATGCAATTTACAAATGCAGATACATGAATACTTCCTGGGTGCTTCTAAAGGTGCCCACCTTGTGCTAGGCTCTGGAGGACTAACACTATAAAACAGAGGCTCTGCCACAGGAAACTCACAGTCCATTTGGGAAGGCAGATGTGTCATCACCAGTAAAAGTACGGCTCCCGCTGACCTGCTGGAGAGGCCCAGAGAGGGGCTGTCCCACAGACCACGGGGTTCTAATTCCTGCTCAACCACCAGCCCCACCAAGCCTCAAGACTATCTCCCACTGTCTCAAAACTGCAGGATGCAGAGCTCTCTAGGTGATTCTGAAGGGAACAGGGCCATGGAGGGACAGCTAGCACTTGGTAGAGTCTGGGAAGGATCTGCCATCCTGCTCTTGTATAACTCCCCTTCTCTGATGGATTGGTGAAGCTGCAGCTGATCCAGACAAAAGCCCACATGAAATTTTTCAAGATCATAGCTGGAGGGCACAATAAAGTGTTTGCCAGGAATAGCCACAGTAACTGCTTCTAGTTCATGCTCTTGTAGAGTCTACCCACTGTGGCTCTGGGGATGGCCATGTGGCTTGGTTTGGTCAGTAGGATAATTGCAATGGATTGCATGCATTTTGGGGGGCCCGCTCCCTTTTGCTGCTCCTAGGGTCCTTGCCATGAATGAGTCTCTG